GTCCGGCGTGTGACGTCATCTAACCAAGACGACGCCGACCATATTCGCTTTTTGTCTCAGTAAAATAGGTTGGATGACGTCTCCTGCCAGTCTAAAATACACAAAATTCAATGATCTATCTCTCAGTACAGTTTTGGATGGAATTTCAAAATGCTTTCTCTATTGTGTTATAAAATCGACTGGGGGAATCTCTGCTTCATTGTTTTTGAGATTACCAAGAAGTAAGCATGAATAATTTTTTGGACAAGACTAGAACAATAACTGAGAAGTACTATTCGACATGACTGACCATCCTTCAAGAAAAACTTATACACAGAAGACGCGGAATGTTGTTCAGGGATATTTTGCCCCCGCACACAAATCGTATGTAGCCATGCAAACAAATGGTGATTCAGGATTCGAATTACTCCAACATCCCCCTCATTTACCAGGTCTGGCTTCTTCTGACTCTAATTTTTTTCTCAAGTGAAAAAGTCTCTACGGTCGTTATTTTTTTTTCCAATGAAAATACGATAGAAATTGTAGAGGCTTGGTTTACAGAGCAAGATGAAAAAATATGTTCGAAATGTCTAAAGAAGCTGCGGATTTACTGTAATGAAAGTATTCAACTAGAAGGAGATTATGTTGAATAATATATCACTTAGACTTTGAATTTTTGTTTGCTTCAATTATAAACTAAAAAATTTTCAATACATCCTGGTATATATCATTTACGATTTTCCTGTTTTTCACATGAAATATTCATATACAATTTTTCGGAGAAACAATAGAGCAAGTTTTCACCGCTGGACTCTTCATCAACCGAATTCCACGTATTTTTCCCTTTGCGTCAGATGTTATCAATGAATGACTAATGGGCGAAGTGACCTCCAAAGCCCGATGTAGTTGATCACTTCACAAATCTAGCTAAACAAAGAGAAGGATGAGGAATAATTGATTATTTATGTTCGTGGAGAAATTTGCTTGAAGATGTATCACGAATCAAACAGGGTTGGGTTTAGGAACGTTTTATAAATATACAGTAATCGATCATTTTCGTTGGAGGAATCTATAACACTTGATTACAGGGCGAATGTATAAAGTCATCTCGTTCTTAACTTTTGAACGGTACCTTTTGATAAAAAAATAATAGCGTGACTCCTTTGCTACCGAAAGAAAAAAATTCAATAGTTTTTCTAATAGATTGATGATACCTCATTTGATAGGACTTTATCATATGTTCGCACATTCTCATTGAAAGACCTGTCAAATGACATATCACAGAATCCCCCCTTTTTAAGTTAATACCGCCCTCTCGACGACAAGTGCGACATATTCTTCCTATTGCTTTTCTTATAAAAAAGTGCCTTCCTACGTGTATTTGAATACAAGTATTTGAGACTGATTTTCTACATCTTTGGACTCAGTTCTCCTAAAATTCTGGGCATTAACTAATAGGTAGTAAGTATAATATAGACAATATTTTTATGCAAATAATTGTAATTCACTTTATTTATCCAAGTAATTAGGCTGAAATAGCCTGTTTGGGTAATAAATGAATAAATAAATAGATTTTCTCCGATTTTGATATCTGTTTCGTTAAAAGGTTGAGAATCGTTTCTACTTTGGTATACGAAGTCTGTTAAAAAAATGAAGTGAAAGTTCAAATTTCGTGGGCTACATACATCCGATTAGGGATTTTTTTATTTTTTTATATTTGTACACTCGTCTCGAACATATGCTCACAGTTTCAGTTATTCAGAGTGTTTAGTTTGTTGGTGAGAGGCATAAAAGTTATAAGGGTTTTGCGTTTTCCTATCGAAAATAATGGATCAAAGAAGTTGCATCATATACCGTGAAAAAATTGAATTTAGTGCTCGAAACCACTTGAAATACTGACAGTGGCATACGGTGATCATACTCTGAATCAGAAAAATGTTTACAAGTGGTACAAACTTCTCACAGAAGGTCGAGAAGATGTGAATGGTGGCGTTCGGCCTGGACGTCCCAGCACATCAACAATCGATGAAAATGTTGAGAAAGTAAAGAAAATTTTTATGGAGAATCGTCGAATCACTATTAGAGAAGTTGCTGAGCTCTAAATAGTTGAGTTTGTAACGCTTCCCTGCATAGTGCAAAATTTCCGTATCGTTAGATTCGGGAACTTGTGGTTTCATGCCAATGGTTTGAAAACGTCGAATCATTTTTTTCCAGTATGAAAGAACTTTCATGTTGAGCATACCGTTTTCAGAAATTTCGACCACATTGCCCCCCATAAACAATATTAAACTCATACTTAAGCTTATGAACTCCTGATTTCTCCAACTTGTCCACCTTATCTTTGGCATTGAAAAAGAAATCAGATATGTAACCATTTCTTGATTTCTGGTTGTTTGATCTGAGGGTATAATAATCTGTAAGTGAATTTACGGCTTTGTTCTCTGACTAACTTCTGGATAGTATCTGCGTTGAAACCATTATTATGAATGACCCTATCTGTGTGTATCTATATCAATTTCCCTGCCTAGATTGTTAGCAGACAAAGGCAGTGTCTGACTGACCATTACACACAATCAGAATGAATTTGAGTTCAATGTTTTCAAAAAACTAGCTATACAGATATTACCATCCCAAGCGATTCTTCCCATCAGCAGACTACAATACAATGTTACACAGAGCCTTCTCACTGTCTACTAACAATCTACCCTCAGGTCAAACAACCAGAAATCAAGAAATGGGTAACTCTAATATACACACATCGGAAAAGTCTAGGGATATTTTTAAAAATGGCAATAATTTTTTTTAGATCGCTTTAGGGAAAAAAGTTGATGGGTGATTATTAAACGAATGTAACTTACAACAAAATTTATTAAATGGTCAAAAATACTGAGTGCGCATATAAGCAAAACTAAAAAAAAATATGGCTCTTCTTTGGCACCTCGAAAAAAAATCATAATACAAAAAAAATTGGAATCCACGCTGGTTTATTACGGCCCTACATCTATCGTGCATCGACAAAATAAGATTGTCAATGTCTTGTTGAGGTACATTTGCCCATTCAACGATTAAAAGCTCTCTCAATTGAAACGTTGTATGAATGTTCCCCATATGCGGAGTAATTCTTCGTTGAAGCATGTCCCACACATGCTCGACGGGATTCAGGTTCGGTGATTGTGCTGGCCATGGCATTACATCAACTCCTTCGTTGGTGAGCCAGTCAGTCACTAGACGCGCGACATGTGGACGAGCATTATCATGCATTAGGTGGAATGGAAGTTTTCACCAACAGCACCAGCAAACGGACGGACGATAGGTAGAAGAATGGTGTCGAGGTACTGTCGAGCTGTGAGGGAGCGATTTGGAAAAACGAGATCGGTTCTGCCGCCGATCATGATTCCGCCCCATGGCATTACTGTACCACCTCTGTATGTGTGGACTTCCTGGACGTGTCTCAAACGTTCATTATTTCCAGGTCGTCTCCACAGTCTTACTCGACGAGAATCTGGATGAAATCCAAATCTGGATTCGTCTGTAAACAAAACTGTGGCCCAATCATTTGCATCCCAGTTTTGATGTTCTTGCCACCACTCTAATCTTCTACCGCGATTGCCTCTCGACAAAGGTGGACATCTAAGTGGCCTTCTCTTGTGGAGATCTGCTTCATGCAGTCGATTTCTGACAGTATCACGACCAATGGTTACCTGGTGCGTCTGCTGCAACACGTTAACCAACTCAGGTGCTGTGATTGTCGGTTGTCTTCTTGCGGTTAAGACCAAAAATCGGTCTTGAACTGCAGTTGTAGCGCGTCCTCGCCCTAGATGTTGTTCGGCTGGACTGCCAGTTTCACGGAAACGCCGCCACAGTCGACTGATAACACTTTGGGAGACCCCCAAACGAAGAGCTACATCATTTTGTCGCATGCCACCTTGAAGAAGCCCTACAGCTCTATTCATCTCAACCAATGGTAAGTGATGGCGTTCCATGTTAAAGCACAATATTTCCAGTTCAATTGCTGAGCAAGAACTGCATAGAATGTACAAACTCGACACTTTCAGATTATTCATTTTAGCCGAAAACCTACAGTTTGTAAAAAACTTGATAAAAGATTAGTTACCGTTTTTGCAGGCTTTGTTCAACCCATAGAAATCTACAGGGTGGTCGTGTGTACCAATTTAATCGAAATTAAACGACCTCATGCATTTATTTTTATGATATTCAGTATGTTATAAAAATATCCCTAGACTTTTCCGATGTGTGTATTTTGGAAAAAGAACAGATTTGTCAGAAAAAAGAATGTGAAAGTGGCATTCAGACCACATCCCAAGTTATCTGATTTCCTTTTCAATGCCAAAGATAAGGTGGACAAGTTGGAGAAATCTGGAGTTTATAAGCCTAAGTATCCGAAGTGTAATAATGTTTATGTGGGACAATGTGGTTAAAATTTCCAAACCGGTATGCTGAACATGAAAGGTCCTTCATACTGGAAAAAAATGATTCGACGTTTTCAAACCATTCCTAGGCATGCAATCACAAGTTCCCGAATCTAAACGATACGGAAATTTCGCACTATGCAGGGAAGGGTTACAAACTCAGTTACTCAGAATCCTTGGAAATTCACAAGCATAAACATTGCGGGTGCAACCTGTTGCATAACCAGATCGATTTAGTTTACTCACCGGTTTTCAAATTAGCACATCCGCATTGTAAATTGTAAATTCAGTACCTTTATTATTACCTACAGGGGTGCTATATAAAGGCTAATGTAATAAACCATTGTTAGTTTTATGTATAAGTTTGAAAATGTCCTAAAAGGACGAAACTTCACTAACGTTAGTTACAAATAAAAGTGGTAAAAACAGAAAATTTCAATTCTCTTTTCTTCTATATTTGAGGTTAGAAATTTGAATGACATCGACCAGAAATCTATAACTTAAAAGTCACTGGATAAAAAAATATTATCATAGTTAATTCCGAAGGATATCCTCATTCTGAAGGTGTTGAATAAACTGATTGATCGTTAGGGATCTGGTGTGGAAGATCCTCCAGCAAGTCGAGCAGTACGACTGGTTGCAGATTTGAGACAGCTTCTGACCCTGAAACAGCATTACTACCCCGAAGGCGGATGGGGGTGGGTGGTGCTAGTCTGTGCCGTCATCATACACATCATAGGCCAGGGGATGGTAACTTCGGCGGGATACTTTTATTTGGAGATTCTCGAAAAGTTTGGCAAGGCGGTGAAGGAACCCACAGGTAGAGATAATAGGTAGATAGATTCAAATCACCATATGAAATTCAATGATTATTCCATCAACAATGTTGTTGATGGAACAACGTTTACAAAATATACCTTTCAAGCGAAATTGAAGTATTCCTATTTTCTTCAATCTCTGCCACTTTTTGTGATTGTCCAAAAAACCTATCAGGTTTGAGAACATTTGTTGTCCTTTACTTTTTCAGTTAATGCCACTGTCAAGTACTTCCTTTTTGCTCGCCTTAAATGAATAGACCTCATTCCAAAGGTTAGTAAAATGAAAACAACAAAAACACTTCGGCCATATACTAGAACTGTATCACTCTTTATCAAGCGCAAATTCATCAGAGAAGCTCACTTGTATGAGAGTTATTGTAAATAGTTTACATCATCTTCCGATAATCCTTCTACGTCGCAACGCCAACTTAGAGAAATGCGAGTGGAAAATAATTATATAATCCTGATTGATGTATGAGAAAAATGATTTTGTTGAAAACCATATAATAGTTTCATAACCGTAGTATATCAGACGTCTAGAATACCGCGCTGTATATGAATACTATTTTTCTCGTTATCAAAATTCTATATGAAAAATCACCCGTGATTTCATTCAATTTTCAATATTTTGCCTTTCTTTCCGGATTTTTTCCAATACAATGTACTTGGAGAAGAAAATTACATTTTTTCTATAAATTGATGGATGTAGCCGTTACTATGTGGTAGGAAATCATCATGAAAAATGAGAAATGTTTTTTACCACTTTTGTGTTAAAATTGTAAATTTTCATTTATCTTTTTCCATATTTTTTCTAGAGGATGAAAGTATTACAAATCACGAAATTGTGAAACAACAATAAAAATCAATTGGCCCTCCGCTCCGAGGCGATTTCATTGATTCCAGTGGCGCATTTGCTTTTTCAGCTACAGGAAACCCCGGAAAAACCTGCAGCATCACATCATCTGAAAATCTTGATCTGCCAATGCCCTCTCTTTTATAAAACAATAAGTAGGGTGTCTCCAGAGGCGCCAATTGATTCAAGACATCGCCAAAACACTAAGTGACACAACTTTCGTCAAACTTTCCGTTTCGTCTTTCACCAAAGCGTAATAATGACCAAATTTAACGCCAGAATCACAGTGAACAATGGCTGCATGAAGATTATAATATTGGTCCGCTAGATTGAACTGTTCATCTATTTCGAGCCTTCGTAAGAGTTTGGTGCTTCCGTTAGATATTGACTCATGTTTGAAGATCATCAGTGTTAATATTAAATTGGCTGGTGCCAGTTATTTTGGCGTATGTTTGGCAATACAGTTGATTATCACCCGTTAAAAGTTTCATTTTTAGAGAATAACCTTGTACAAATCCTTCACTTCACTTTATATCAATACGCTAGATATTTGCAATCATCACCTGAAATAATATATATTCAATTGTCTATTTTTTCAAATGCTATTTTGAAACCGTGTTCCTCCGTTGTGAAAACAAATGATCATCTGCCTCAATTAGCAGATTGGTAAAATAGTCCATCATTTCCTTTATCAAAAACAATTACACAGTTTCTGGTATCAGATAAGGAACTTGAGTACCGCAATAATTCAATTGGAAAAAATAGTGAATGACTTTCATTCAAGTACTTCAAAGTAAAGAATTGAATTTGCATTCGTAGTATTTGATTTACGTATTCCAGATAATTTTTCTCAACTCAAGTGAAACAAACTAATTGATATTGTGACTGTTTAACATTCCAGATCGCTGTGTCGGAAATTCATATTACTCTATCAAAGTACTTCATTCTTATAGATATGTCAGATGGATTCATTTCAACTTTTGCAGAACTGGAACTGATTTATAATATGATTCAAAAATATTGAATGATTTTTTCACTGAACAAACATGCTGATTTCTAAGGTCATTCGTCCCAAGCAGAATTAATTGTTGTTTAATTCACAGAAGGATTTTATTTCACTGAAAATTCATCTTTTGGTATGATTTTTAATGACATATGTTTACTTCAAGAAAATATAACTAAAAGAGAAATTTAGTGCAATTTTATAATGCCACGTAATGTGGCATTAGAAAATTCTAAAGAAAACATTATTAGGACATTTTTCACCAGAAGTTAGAGTAAAAATTATATATTTATATTTAGAGAAACTTTAAAATGAAAACCGAAATTTGTGACTTACATGCGTTCTGTTTTCTTCAGCAACGCTGTATTTGACTATAAGCAATATTACTTGTATTTTCTATCGTACTGATAGAGGTGAATGTAATCTAACTGATTTTTCTGAAAAAATGATTCAGTAAGTATATTTTACAATGAAAGTATTTTTCATTCTTACTGTTTTTTAATGAAATTCTTATCTCTGAGAATTATATTTGTATTGAGAAAAGAGACTAGTAGCATAATTTTCATGTTTTGTAGTAAAGTAAGAATTTCTAGTGACACAAATGGCATCAGCAGCAATTTTTCTAAGAAATGCAAATTTGGAACAGTATTTCATCAAAAAGATCATCCGTAATGTACTGTTGCAGTATTGATTGAAGTTTTGCACCTAGGGTGAACCTAAAACTTTTTTGTAGTCATTTCCTTCACATGAAAAGTAACAAGAGTTGAAAATGAGTTCAGTTATTTCATGAAGTCAATTGTGGATGATTAAGCATTTTTTCATCACACAGATCAGTCTCTTGAATATTCATTTTTCGATTGGTTCTATACATTTGTTGCCAAAAAGAGGCATACCATCAAGACCCTTGAAATTGTACCCTGTTGAAATATATTTGTCGTTGATGAAAGAAGCAAATTCAAAGGAATCTTTCATATAATTATCATTTTTCAAAATGTGTGCTTGAGTCAGAATTTCTATATATCAGCAATTTCACTATTTGGAGCCTCAATAGATAACATGATTGGTCTAAGTACGTTTATGAATTTTAGATTATCACTAAATATTCTGGCAATATCTTAAATATATGCCTCTGAAGACACCCTACATTTCATTCTATTAAAGAGAAAACATTGGCAAATCAAGATCTTCAGATGATGTGGTGCTACAGGTTTTTCCGGGTTTTCCTGCTGCTGAAAAAGCAAATGCGCCACTTAAATCAATCAAGTCGCCCCGGAGCGCCAATATATTTTTGTTGTTTCATAATTTGTATAACGATCAGAAAATATATTTTCGATTATTCGTAATATTTTGTTGCCACTGGATCACAATACGAATTTGCTTCTTTCAGATTGTTTCCTTTGTCGTTCATAAGAACTAGTGAAAAAGTTATATTTCGACCTCAATGGCAAAGTGGAATTTCTTTTTAAAAGATCTGAAAGAAAGGGGGTAATCCGCTTCATAAAATCCAGGAAGATTTCCATACTCCTCTTTTCCAATAAAACTGAGCAGAAAAATATCGTTTGGTTCAATCAAAGAACTATTGAGTGCTTTACAGACAGTTTGATTCATGAAATATTTCGAATACAATATGAAACAGTATATGTTCGGGTTTCTGTTGATGGTCTCTTTTCTTTGTTTCAGGATGGTTGGGAGCAATGTCTACCGGCGTTGCCCTCCTCATCTCCCCTGTAACGATAGCGTTCTGCAGACGCAAATCCACCAGAGTGACTGCCGTTATGGGAGGCCTCATCACAGCTCTAGGATGCCTGTTCACATCCTTTGCTACTCAATTCCATCAGTTATTCTTTAGGTGAGTGAAAATGTATGTGATTAACTTTAATAAGAAACTGGTATTCAAAATAATGAGCGGGTACGAAATGTACACATTATACAGGCCGCTTGAATGGTCGAAGAAAATTTACGGGGAATCTCGCCCTTCTCGAGTTATACGGGAAAAACCAAAAATGCTGTTTTTCGTTTTTTCCGAATGAAATTGTTATTTCGGAGAATATCAAAAAATGTAAAAGGAAAATGTTATTTTATTTAAAGTGTACTATGACGATGTAATGATAAATATTCCATAAAATGTTTCGTGCCAACATGGCCACCAATAACTTTATTTTTGAATAAGTACCTTTCTTTTTCATCACAGATATTGATAAAGCAATAAATTCAAAATCCAAGGGTATATCACATTCGACATTTCTATAGCGTTTGAAATAACTACCATCATCAGTGACAACAATTTTAAATTACGGTCCTGTCGTTACTTCTTTTGTAAATTGTTTTGATTTCTTCAAAATATAGTTCAGAAAAATCAATAAATTCGACAAGTAGGTACCCTAACACAATGAAAATTCGTACTTTTTCGTTTTGTGAATTTTTGTATTGCAGTATTCCTTCTTTCGAAGCTTATTTCTCCCTAATCAATTATGATTCGTGATATTTTTATAATTCTCAATGCTGGAAGTAACGAAAATATCAGTTTCTGGTCAAAATTCGATTGTGGTATAATTTGGTATGGTTAAATAGCATCTCAATTAATTTACTATCTTAAACGCGTAAGTTCTGCTTGGTTTCTATTGCAGGAAAAATCAATTACGTTGTTGATATCTGTTGAGAACTGTCAGACGTTTATGAATATGTATTCAAATGATGAAAGGATTGATATGCTATTTAGCTATGCAAAATCAAATAGAAATCCTCTTTTGGCAAGGAATATGTATGTTAAGCTATACCCGAATCATCGTATTCCAAACATCCAAATGTTTAGGCGATTAGAAAGAAATTTGAGGGACTATGGTGCATTTGACAAAAAGAAAACAAGAAAATGTGTGGTTACTGGAAGTGTGAAGAATCAAATAACTATGATGGGTAGGCAAATATCACCACATATAAATTTACACAGTGAAAACATCTTTTTTTTATTTAGGATTGGCCAGTTACAAAAATTATGCTGATCAAGATTATTGTTTACGAGAATTTGCCCACGAAATGGGGACTTCTGTAAAATCCGCCGGAACTTTTTTGAAAAAAAAACAAATATGTATGCTACAGTATACGATAAGTTCATCACCTCAATGAAAGGGATTATGGAAGGAGAGTACGATTTGCGAACTGGTTAAGACGTAGAAATAAGGAAGTTGGAAATATTTGTGAAAAAATGGATGGACGAATCAAAATTCACCTACAATGGTTGGTTCGATAGAAATATCCATTATAGGTGGAATAATACAAATGAACATATACATTGGGAAACCAACTTCCAAGAAAGGTTCGGAATAAATGTTTGGTTGGGAATTGTGAACGCAAACATCCTTGGTCCTTTCTTTTACGATGATCATTTGAATAGTGACATGTATCTTCATTTTCTATTCAATTAAATCGATAGCTACTTAGATGAACTGCCACTTAATATTCGCCATGAAATACAATATTTTCAACAGGACGGTGCTCCTTTCCATAATGCAGCAATGATATTCCCAAGAAAATGGATTGGAAACAATGGACCAGTTAACTAGCCAGCTCGATCCCCAGATCTTACTCCTTTAGATTTTTTTTTGTCTGAGGATACATAAAGGATAAAGTTTTTTCAACATTTATCGACCATCTCAAAAAATTATGCTAGAAAATTGCCAAGAAATTGTCTGGACCGACAACTTATGTGCATTCAACAAAGAGGTCGTCAATTCGAGCATTTGATGTAGATTGCCATGTAGCTTTGATTTTCCGTATTGGTTTCATTTTTCCCAAAAGTTCATGATGAAATAAATTGTTTTTCTGTTTGATTGTTGTCACTCATGATGGTGGTTATTTCAAATGAAACGCTATAAAAATGTCAAATGTGATATACCCTTGGATTGTGAATTCATCGCTTTATCAATATCTGTAATAGAAAAGGCAGGTCCGTTTTTAAAAAAAAAAGTTGATGGTGGCCATGTTGAAACGAAACGTTTCATCGAATATTTGATATTACATCGTCGTCATCGAATACAATAATATTTTTTCTATCCATTTATTGATATTCTCCGAAATAACAATTCCATTCAAAAAAAAACCAAAAACAGCATTTTTGGTTTTCCCGGTAAAACTCGAGAAGGGCGTGAGTCTCCGAAAATTTTCTTTGACCATTGTATTGTTCCTGATGACAGTTACCTTTTTTCCCATTAAATCTCCGTATTTGTTACGGTTTAGAATATAGCAATGTTACCACATGATAATAAAAGAAACAGCCTGTATTATAAATTATTTTTATCTTATGAAATATTAAAAATGAGGTGTTCTTCGTTTGTTTCTCTAAGGCTTAGTAAATTAGGTAGGTACATCCAAATTGAGTGAATCTATTCGACTCTCCACTACAATACAAGAGATTGGTTGTAAAAGGTAAAACTTGAACTTCTGTGGTAGAATTAATTCAAAACGAGCACTTTTTCAAATCCACAGATCTCATCAGGAAATGAAGTTCACCAACGCCAATGAAGACGCCAACTTGATTGGTGAAATGCGTTTCGAAAAGAGTGTTGCAGATCTGATCATTGGAAAAAGTTATTGTATTGAAGGTTTTTTTGTGCCTCACATCTATTTGAACTCGACCAAATAGGTTCAGCTTCTCAACAACGCTGATTCTCACATTTGGTGAGTCAGCTGGTAAGAGTAAAACGCTGCCAAATAGCTTATTCGATTCGTGGCGGGGTACGCGCATGATATGTTCTTTGCTAACAGGGCCCAAATTTCCTGGTGAGGAATGATTCACTCGAACGTTGACAGTTAGATTTTCCCCAATCTAATAACGACCTGATCAGCAATCAGGCTGCGAATACTTTCGTTTGATAGGTGAGCAACACAAAACTGTGGCTTAGGAGTGAATCTCCTGTAACGTATTCGGGGAAAAGCCCCTGCATGGTTGTAGGGTACTAAGTATACCTACCAGCCAGGAAACACTTTCCTGATCCTCATAGCTACCCAGACCAAAATGTGCAAATCCGGAATCTCACCTGGAAAATCCTCTACGATAACTATTGACCATCTTGTGGAACATCCTCTGGATATTCCAGTTAACTGGTCGATATTGGTGTTGTCGAATGTTCTAGGTGCAAGATTTGCGCCTCAATGACCGAAGCAACTCTTCAATATGAGGGTGTGTGTGCATTTATATCTGACAGCACATTAAATCAATCGTGCAAGGCTTCTTACTCTGTGCTTTGTGTGAATTATCGTTTGAGCATGAGTGTCTACTGATCTTCTCAGGAAGAGTTCGTCTCTTTTCATGATGCAGATTCTGCTTCTGCTCCTCCAAAATATGGTGCAAGACGGATTTACGAGATATCCTGCTCTTCTCTTGAAGAGGTGCTTCCTGGCTACACCACTTGGCCTCCTGGGTTTTTCACAGGATCAAAAGTTGTAGAACTGTGAAGCGTTTGCTCTTGATCCGATGTTACAGAAAGATAGGTTGGGGTCGTTGAATTGATGTACACATATTTCTCTTGAGGATTCAAGGTGGGATTCGTTGGTTACTTCATGATTCATAAAGGATCCTACGAGTAGTTGGGGTAAGAAGGTCCATTACAACAAAGTCCCGCAGAGTCAAACATCCTCTCGACATGGATACACATATCTCAGAATTATCTCAAGCACCCCCTGCAGGAGTTCTCTGTTACTAACTGAAAAATTTAAAAATATGTAATGTTATATGGAGCTGTGATGAACTCAATTCAAGTCATGTGCATTTCGTTTAGGTAACGTACGTTGTATAAGAATATCCGTAGACTTAATGATTACTTGTCAAAGTAATTTACATAATCAGTCAAGGTAGGACTGGGCTGAAAGTTCAGGTGTTTGATGGCTGTGTGCAAGCTGGGAATGAAGTTGGCAGCCAGGCAATGTTATGATGGGGGCCCAAGATAGTGTGATGGGTTGCCCGCCTAAGTTAGAGACTAGCTGGAAAATGCTACCATGGTTAGTCAGATATTGGAATCAGTACAAAAATCAGAATTGAAAATGGTTTGGCGAATATGTTATACTCCAAAAACAACTTTGAGCAAATGAATAATCAGATGAATAACAGAAAGGAGAACTGAAAAACACTTTGTCAAGGAATATTGACATTGGCCTTCGTTTCAACGAAATTTCAACTGATTTTTGAATACATTTTTGTATTTGATTGAAGTAGTTCGGTAGATGGCAAATAAAGTTTACTACTAGGTGGAGATTTGTAGGTTATATTAAATTTCTATCTGGATTAACGTACACCTGTATTATGATGGGTTGAATGGAATAATGTATATCTTCATTATTCCATAATGATGGTTTGTTCCTGAAGACATATGGACGAATGACAGGGATGTAGAAATCCATACGTGTTGAAATATCAACCTCACTCAATTGAAGGTCAATATTATTGAACCAATGAATTACCCGTTTCAGTTATCACATTAAGTCAGTGCAATATTCACTTAAAATCAGTAGTGAGGTGTCTGCATGAATCATGAATGGTAAATTTTCGTTTTGAGGACACCCGGCGATTTTGAAAAAATGTTTGCGTGTACTTACGTATTTTGATGCGTGGATTACGAATCCGAAAGAAAAAAGCGGCGCTCTCTCTTATTTACAAAGTTACGGCCCTTCAAAGTTCTGAAAAGGGCAACTTTTCAGCCTTCTTTTTCACAAAATAAACTATTTAAAAACACAAGCATCTATTCACTAGGTCACTTTTACACCTTATTCCTCCTTCTTTGACACTCTTCACTTCAATAATAAATATTTTTCTTGTAAAAAACTTAATTTAAAAACGAATGCTTCTCCTGGTGACAT